AGCTGGCTGGAGAATGCTGGGAATTGAAGTCCATCCATCTTCAAGAGGCCAAGGTTGAGAAACACTGCCATAGAATAAGAGATAAACTTGCAATTGTACCTATAACTGCTGTAAAGTAAACCAGAAGCGACTTCTTTGTATCTTTTTTTTCTTTTCTATTTTTCTTTTATTTAGTTATCTTCCTTTCTTGCACTTTTACCTCTCTTGGATTTCTTCCTTCTTCTTTTCTTTTCCTTGCTTTATATTAGTTTGTATTAGTTTTTAATCTTCCTTTTTATAAAATCTTTAATAAAAATTATATATATTAAAAAAAATGAATTGGCCTGCTTGGTAAACCAGAACAGCCCTACCATTTGTCCAGTTGTAACATTAAATTAAGGAACAAGTGCTAACTGAACATGGTCTTCTAAGTCACGTTGCTGCAGCTCGCAGGCAGCTGGGGTTCAGTGACACAGAAATTCAGAATTAATTAATTAGCAGACCATTAATTCTAAAGAAACGCAGCTATCTCTCAGGGAGAGTCGATAATCAGCTATAAGATCTACAGGTTATCAACGTAAGCAGTGAAATTAAAAGTAGCTGGAACTCTTTAGAAGTCAGAAGTTTAGAAACCAGAAGTATTTAGAAATTAGAAGCAAGAGCTGCAGAGTTAATTGCGAGGTTCTGACCAGCGCTTTTTAAAATGATGCTAGTAGTCAGCTGACTGAAAGAAAAAGCACGTGGAAGTCACTTTAGCTGCAAGGTCAGGCTAAAGTGTAGACCTGTAGTTTCGAAAATACAGATTGAAACTGGACATTGCAACGTTGGAGACCGAGAGACATATGAACACTCACGCCAGCCGGAAAGCTGACGTCGTACTTCAGAACAGAGGCATTCTGATTTAGCTGGGTGCTTGAAGATTTTAGCCAGGTAGCTAGAATAATCATTAGCTGGATTCCACATTGGTGATTTAGTTGGTCCAGGGAAATCACAAAAGCCATAGAGTGTGTGAATTCCCATTTGCAAAGTTCTTCCTTTAGTTTGATTCCAGACTTTACTCCAAGCCAAACAGGAACTAGTCTAGCCCAGAAGGAGCTAAGCGTAGGATCCTTTGCATGCTCTCAAATTTACTAACGCCTTACCTGTATCCTGCACTGATCATATTCACGCTTGACAGGGGGCTCCTGGCTGGGGGATGAGATTAGCGTGGGAACCATCTGTTCGGACAGGACAGATGCTTGAGTAGCGCTACCGCAGCCAAACTAGGTGGAAACATAAGGAATTTTAGCAAAAGTCATCCACTAAGCTATGCAATGCTGTGTGTGATTGATTATAATGTAGCCTATTTTCTAGAGCAGTGTTTTTTCAACCTGAGCCACTTTAAGATGGGTGGACTGGCTGGGGAATTCTGGGAATTGAAGTCCACCCAACTTAAAGTGGCTCAGGTTGAGAAACACCGCTCTAGACGCAAAAATTAGGATTGAGAGGGCCAAGATCAGACACTTCTACTGCAAGGTTTGGACTGAACTCTGATTACAGCAGATCCCCGTTCTTCCCCCCCAAAGCTCCCCCCCAGCCCTTCTCCACCCTCTCATTGTCTCACCTTCTTAGCTCTCTCGGCCTTGTCCCGTTCAATCTTCTCTCGCACCCGCTGCCTGGAAAAAAGAACGGCGTTAACGGTGGAACGCCAGCTTAGAAACAGCAGGCCTGGCTCAGTCCCCAGCAAGATCCGCTGAAGCTCCTGTTGACCCCCCCACCCTCCTCACTTCACTGCTAGGGAAGAAACGTTGCAACCCTCAAAGCTGGAGATCTTGAAAGACTTGGAAAAACTCAGGGGTGCCCGTGGGATGAACGCTGCGGCAGACGAAGCAGATGGGACTGTTTTGTCCTCATTCCCTGTGTCAACAATTTGCACCAACAGTACCCATGTATCTACGTCCACCTGGAACTCCTTCCTCCAGAACGGGTTAAGCCTCCAGAATTGTCCAGCCGGCATACTTTAAGATGGGAGGACGTCAACTCCCAGAATTCTCCAGCCAACGTGCTTTAAGATGTGTGGAGTTCAACTCCCAGAATTCTCCAGCTGGCTGAGGAATTCTGGGAGTTGAAGTCCTCCCATCTTAAAGTCGCCAAGGTTGAGAAACCCTGGTTTAGGGGGAGATCACATGGTTGCCTGCTGCTTCTTTCCAGCCAGAAACGCAGCTTTCCCCTCCCACCCCAGCACCTGGATTCCTCTTGGTTACACGCTCACACTCTCTCAAACACACACACACACACACACACGGTCTCTCACTTGGCCAGCTTCTCCTCCAGCTTCTCCCTCCGCCTCTCTTCCGCCAGCTTCTTCATCTCATCCTCCTGCAGCTTCTGGCGGATGAGCGAGAGCTCCTGGCCCTGTTTCCGGCGCTGCTTTTCGCGCTCGATGCTCTCCCGCTTCTCCCGCTCTTCGCGTTCCTTCTGTTTCTGAGAAATCAGCTCCATCATCCTGATGGGGAAAGGAATCGGTGGGGCAGCCTGGGGGGCAAGGCTGCTCCCCTAGCCCGGAGCATGGTCGTTGTGGGCCTTCCATCCCTAAACTAACCTAGTTAGTTGTTCCCCAAACTATCCCCAAACTAACCTAGTTATTCCCAAGCTACCCCAAACTAACCTAGCCATTCCCCAAGGTACCCCCAAACTAACCTAGTTATTCCCCAAGCTATCCCCAAACTAACCTAGTTAGTTCCAAACTATCCCCAGTAACCTAAGTTGTTCCCCAAACTATCCCCAAACTACCTAACAGTGCGGTGGAGAGAATGTCAGCCACTCTCTGGTCACTTCACTCGCAGAAATTCATAAAGAAAAGGGGTGCCATCTGCCTAATGTACGCTAATAGGGCAATCTAGGTTTTCCTGCTGGAGAGCTTAACCGGGATTAAGGATTCCTCTTGTTTTTAAGGAAAGGGAAGGTCCCCCACTGTAACAGGGCTTACCTTTTCGTCTGTTCCTGCTTTTCTTCTTCAGTCAGAGGACGCTGGTTCTTCTCTTCGGCCAGCTCATCTACGGGAAGAAAAAGTTCGGTTGCGGCTTCCAGGGATCGGGCAAAGGAAAGATATAATCCAAGCTGGGGACCTGGAGAGTGTGCCGATCCATGCTCAAATGATGCGCAACCCTCTATGCCTCCATTTCAGGCGTTGGGCTGAAGGAATGAAGGCCAATCACTGGAGCTTAATCTAAAGACAGAAGGACCGTTCGATACCTATTAACAGCCCCTCTATCCAGGTAGCGACATTTCCCCCTAAAGGCACAATTACCGATCGCCACCTCGGCCCGCTGCAGATCATGAGAACCTGGCTTAAGAAGGACGACCCAGGCCCCCATCTTGGCTACCACGCTCCGAGGCTCCCCAGCACACCGCCAGGTTTGTTCTGACCTGATCCACTTTGTACCGAATCTGGCGTCCTTCCTTCAGGGGACTCCTCGGCGCCCAGAACATGGCCCTCAGGGGGGACATAGGGGTCATCTAGGCCAGGATCGTTTTCATGTTCCACTAACCTGGGTTGAAGAGAGGCGCACCATTCAGAAGGAGAGAGGGGAGAAGGGAGGAAGTTGCAAATCAAGGGGGAAGCCAGCATACTCACCAATCCATCGCTTGTTCAATACCCTGGTTTCCTGTCAGAGCCAGGGCCTTCTCTCTGGGGAAAACAAGGGATGAAATTCAGCACACCACATCAAAACAGAGAAGGCTGCAAGCAAAGCGACAAGGAACGTTCACACAATGCTGGTCCAGCTGCCTTCGCACAAATCCAGCCGTACCCCTTGGCGAAGCCCTCCCAAGTTACAGACGTGTGTTGTTCACAAGCCTTTTGCTTAAATCACATGGAATAGAAGAGCTCGCTCTGTTTTTGAGACCTCCCACACACATCCCACACTTTCCCAGGGCGGAGACGTACGCTCGGTTCTGCGGGAAACCCATCTCAATTAAGCTTTCCAGCGCTGTGTTCTCCATGAGGTCGCACTACAACCGTCACTGCCAGGAAATTCTGCAAAATAAGAGAGACGTCCAGTCCTTTGGCCTCCTGTGGATTTTATCCCTTGTATCGTATTTCAGCGCTTCGTTGTAATTCGGGTTGGAAAATGTATGTTTTCCTTATCACGGTCTCCCCTGTTCTGTTCTTAAATTCTGCACTGTTTCATTACAAATTCTCTGTGCTTGGAACTATAAACCCCTCGCCTGGAGGTGATTATATCAGGAGAAAGACAAAAGATTAGATTTAAAACTTAGGAGAAAGTTTCCAGTTCCAACTGCTGGTCCCCCTTTTCAACAGCCACCCAGCAAAGCAGCGAAAAATCACTCAGCGAAATGCTCTTTCAGCTTTGCCCTGCGGATCGCGGGGCCCACCTGCTCCCCCCAAATCCAAAAGGGTTGGGTGGATC